GTGTGGTGAAGGAATTGGAACCCAAGGGTTATCCTTCATCAGAAACTGAAAACACACGAGGGTTTCACATGGCTTCTTGCATGTCAGCCCATTCCTCTGGCAAGGCCTTCTTTGAGGAGTGGGCAACGTATATAATACCCGGGTGGAAGGCAGGGTGTTGACAACTTGTGAACAGAAAGTGCAGACAGATATTCCATGTAAAGAGCGAGAAAGTGGTTTGAACACACTTTTTTTTTTTTAACCCCGAGAACAGATTCAGGAATGCAACAGATGTGCAATCAAACCACCGTCAACACACTTTCGGGCTTATGCCTGTCTTCGCCCGCAGAAAAAGATTTGGATGAAGTTTTTTTTAAAAAAAAGAATCTGTCAAATCTGTTAGCTGGAAACCAAAACTTCCTGGAAAGCAGCAGAGAGGTCTGCTCAAAAGCTGGGAAGTTTCTAGCTGGGGCCGACAAACCAAGATTAGTAGCAATTTATGGCGCTTTGGTTAAGATCGCACTTAAAGAGTATGGCATCCAGTTTTGGGTTTGCCAAAAACAGATCATGCCAAACAAATCTTATTTTTTTTTTTGAGAGAGAGAGTGACTCAATTAGTGGACCTGCGAAATGCTGTGGGCATACTATACTTGGATTTCAATAAGGCATTTGACAAAGTGGACCAGAACCTTTTCTAACTTAAGCTAGAAAAATGTGGGANGTTCCAATATCTCAGAGGTTGCCACAAAGAACAGGGAGTCAAGCTATTTTCTCCAAAGCACCCAAGGGCAGGACAAGAAGCAGCGAGTGGAAAATTATCAAGGAGAAAAGCAACTTAGAACTAAGGCGAAATTTCCAAACAGTTTCATTAATCAGTGGAACAACTTGCCTCCAAAGGATGGTTGTCCTTTGCCAACCATCAAAAAAATGGACTCAATTTATAAAGCTCCAAAGAAAAATATCCTTTAAGTGGCTTATTACATTTTTGGTTGCAATGTACAAACTTGTTGTACATGCTCCAACACTGGAAGTTTTAAGAAGAGATTGGATAACCAGAAGTGGTTAAAAGTGTCTGAAGTGGTGTAAGGTTTCCTGCCTAAGCAGGGGGTTGGACTAGAAGACCTCCAGGATCCCTTCCAACTCTGTTGTTCTGTTTCTTCCCTTTCATACCTCTCTTTTATTTTATATTTTATTTGTCTTTTATATGTCTTTTATAACTTTGCATTTAGTTTCTATTTATTTCTGGCTAGCACTAGCCTGTTATGGGCAAAGCACTGGAATGAAGAGAGCATAGTAAACAAATCCTTCCTGCCCATTTGTCTTTTATCTCTGAATGATGCAAAATGTTGTGCCACAGCCAAATGCAATCAGAAGACATGGAATCTGACTCAAAGGGTTCCCTACTAGCGTATGAATCTGTTTGCTCTTTTTAATCATTATTATTATTACCACTAATGTTATTATTTCCACTTTTCTTTCATCCTCTTTGCTTTTCTTGTTTTATCTGTTTTATCTAATTTCCAAAGGCTTTTATTGTGATATAAAGGATAGTAATTTAATCAATGCAATGCAATACAATACTCTGGATAATTGCTTTTTTGGGCTATCATTAAACTACATCTCACAATCTTTCCTGATTGTGAAATGGGAAACAAAATTAAAACAATTTTTGGAAATAAAAAAAGACATAAAATAGTTCCTTGGAATGTCTTTGTTGAACTTCAACACCCACAACTAATAATGCAACAATGCCTGCTAGCAAATAAGAGGTTGCTTATTGGTTGATAAGAGTATGAGCTTGCTCTGATTGTTATCATACTTCTTTCCTTACCTGCACTCAGATAAGTATTAAATACCTCCAGCTGACAAAATACCACAGAATTCTTCTTGTCTGGGAACCTTAAGGAAATCTACCTGATCTCTTGCACACTATACTATGGTAAGATGACCAGACGTCCCAATTTCAGCGGGACAGTCACGATTTCTAACAATTTGTCCCGTGTCCCGGGGCGTTTTAAAAAAGTCCCGA